TGTGGGGTTGGGCGGGCGCGCGGGGCTGTGTTAAATTGCCGGGAACTAGTCCTCTGGTATCATAATCGTTTCCTCGCTTTAGAGTCTGCGTTTTCGTGACTCCGAGGATAGTCTCCCCTACAAGAGCTAAAGAGGTGAGTTGCGAGGAAGAGGGAAGACGGTGCTTATGTGGTTGGGTTTACTAGTGCTAACTGACCGTTGGGTTCATTCCACTTTGTAGGGGGCCTTCCGGAGTCGGCCGACCCGTGGGCTGACCTGGTAGTCCCCACGGATCTCCAGAGCCAGGTTCTTCACTGGGCGGGCGGAAAGGTTTGTCCCTGCTAAATGGGGCTGGGCTGCAGGGAACCTCTGAAATACAGATTCTCCGGCCGCTTCCTGTACGCACAGAATCGGGATCTACACGGGAGCCGCCTGGTAATCTGCACTGTTCACAGGAATGCCACTGGATTCATAAAACCAAACAAGTTTGAGAAATTTGGATTGTACGTACAAGCGCCGAACCATCAGTGTGGACGCAAATGAATTTGCTTGACAGGGTGGATATCTGGTCACCTAGTATTTTTTAGAAATTTTAAATCTCACCCCAAGATATTTTTTCCATTGCTTTTCAGAGTGGAAAGGAGAGAGAGAGAGACAGAGAGAGAGACAGAGAGAGACAGAGAGAGACAGAGAGACAGAGAGAGAGAGAAACATCTCTCACATCCTTTGGTTGCCTCAGGCACCCGCCCCAACTGGGGCTGGGGATGGAGCCTGCAGGAGGTAAGTGCCCTTAGCCAGAATCCAACCGGAGACCATACATTTCGCTGGCCAATGTTCTAACCACTAAGCAAACCGGCTAAGTTGGTCACCTAGTATTGAGTTAACAAAGTTAACCCTGTTTCAGCTAGTTATATCTGTAAGTTGTATCTGAGTGTAACCTGCAGGACTAACCTCTACATTTGCCCAAGCCTTGAAGCCACCTAGCTTCTTTCCTGATCATTTTGATGTGTGTTTTTTTGTTTGTTTTGTTTTGGTGTACCCTTTTCATTGTCTTTTAAGGTATAATACTTGATACATGAAAAATAATGTTATACATGTCACAAGTTATAAAGTACAATGAATACTTATAAACCCAACAGCCAGTTTAAGAAAATGTCACCCAGATCATTTCATCTACCTACTCTCCCAACAGAGGTAAAGGTATCTAGTCTCCTGAATCTTTAGTTTAAAAAACAGAAAAACAGTTTTATCATTATACATGCATTGCTATATATGCATCCTTCTTATATAAAGTGTAGTCTGCGGACCAGCAAGGGAGGTCATTGAAAATGCAGAATTTTATGCCGCATTCCTGACCTACAGAATCAGAATCTGCATTTAACAAGATCCCCAGGTAATTTGTACATACACCAACATTTGAGAAGTGTTGCTTGGAAGAAATCACACCGTATGGAGTTTATTATATGTAGCTGTAGTTTTTTGTGTTTTTTTTACTGCTACATAAGATTCCATTGTTTGGTTCTATCCAACTTGTTAATCTTTTTTCTGTTTGACAGTTTTGTTTTTTTTTGTGTGTTTTTTTTTTAAAATATATCTTTATTGATTTCAGAGAGAGGAAAGGAGAGGGAGAGGGAGAGAGAGAGAGAAACATCAATGATGAGAGAGTCATTGATCAGCTGCAGCCCGCAACCTGGGCATGTGCCCTGACCCAGAATCGAACCCCAATCGCCTGGATCCTAGGTCAATGCTCAACCGCTGAGCCACGCCTGGCCGGGCTGTTGGATATTTTTGGAGGGACTATTTTTTAGCAGTGCTGCAAGTAACATTCTTATATGTCTTCTGTTGCACATATGCAATAACTTCTAGTATGCATCTTGGAGCAGAATTGCTGAGTTTTAAAGTATGTGCATGTTCAACCTTACTAGATATTGCCAAATTGTTTTATTTTTTGTTATTTATTTTATTATTTGTTTATTTTGACTATGGGGGTATGTTTATTAAAGCTGGGGACAGTAAAACAAGGAAGGGCTTAGCATAGACAAGGGAACAGGAGAGTCTAGGCTGTCCTTCCTTAGTTCATTGGGAAGTCAGAAAAGGGGGCCTTAGATTCAGCTTCAGGGGGTTAGCCTGGGATGAGCTGCCCCTGGGGACCCTTAGAATTTAGGAGATGAGTGCCTATAGGGGAAGAAGTGAGGGAAGGAGAGGGGGAAGGAATGGCAGGGGCATGCTCCCCATAGGGAGAGCACACCTATATTGCCAAATTGTTTAACAAAAGGGTTGCACCAACTTATAGTCCTTTGGTAATGCATGGGAGCTCCCTTTCCTCTTTATTCTCGATTGTTAGTTTTTAAATTTTTTTGCCAGTTTGGGGAGTGTGTGATAGTATTTCATTGTGATTTAAATTTTTCACTTCCCTGATGAATAATGGTTTCATATGTGTTTCCTCCTTTTGGAAATGCCTCTTCAAGTCTTACATTTTTCTTTTTTCTTTTCTTAAAAATATATCTTTTTTTTTTTTTTAAATATATCTTTATTGATTTCAGAGAGAGGAAGAGAGAGGGAGAGAAACATCAGTGATGAGAGTCATTGATTGGCTGCCTCCTGCACGCCCCCTGCTGGGGATCGAGCCCAAAACCCAGGCATGTGCCCTGACCAGGAATCGAACCCCGATCGCCTGGGTCCTAGGTCAACGCTCAACCGCTGAGCCACGCCCGGCCGGGCTTAAAAATATATCTTTATTGATTTCGGAGAGAGGAAGGGAGAGAGAGAGATAGAAACATCAATGATGAGAAAATCATTGATCGGCTGCCTCCTGCACACCTCCTACTGGGGATCGAGCCTGCAACCTGGGCATATGCCCTGACTGGGAATTGAACCACCATCTCCTGCTCAACTACTAAGCCACTCCAGCTGGGCATGTTATATATTTTTCTATTGGATTCTGTGGTAAGTAGAATAATGACCCCCCCAAAGATGTCCACCCAGAACCTGTGAATATGTTACCTTATGTGACAAAGGGGATTTTGCAGACATGACTAAATTAACAATCTTAAAATGGTGAGATTATCCTGGGTTATCTGGGTGGGTCCCCTGTAATCACAAGGGTCCTTATTAGTGAAAGGAGGCAGAAGAGCCAGAAGAGATACGATAATGGAAGCAGAAGTCTAAGTGATGTGATTACTGGCTTTGAAGATGAAAGGGCCAGGAGCAGAGGAATATGGTCAGCCTCTAGTAAGCCCAAAAAAGCAAGAAAATAGATTTTTCTCTAGAGCCTCTGGAAAAAACACTGCTCTCATGACACCTTGATTTAAGCCCTGTGAGACCCAGTTTGGATTTTTGATCTCCAGTACTGTAAGATAATAAATTTTTGTTGTTTTAAGTCACTAAGTTTGTGCTAATTTGTTACAACAGCTGCAATAAAAAAAAAAAAAAAAAAAACTCATATAGATTGCTTGCTTTTTTTCTAATTGATTTGAAGGTGTTCTTTATATATTCTGGATATTAATTCTTAACCAGTTATATATGGTACAAATATCTTCTCCCAGTTTGCACTTTATCTCCTCTTTTTATATTTCCCTAGCCTCATTCCCTTCCACCTCTTGCTCAGTATGTCTGCAGCAGGACTCTTGGCTAACTTCCTTCTCCCCAAACATGATAAATAAGTAAATTATATATGTCAGCAGGTGGTGTTATGAAACAAAACTTAGCAGGATTTAGGAGGGCTTGGGATGAGGATGGGCTGTAATTTTAAATAGGGCATATCAGGGTAAGTCTTATTGGAGTGATATTTTATAGGAGTTTAGCCTTGTATATATCTTGGGGAACAGCATTTCAGGAAGAGGAAACAGTCAGTGCAAATACCTTAAGACAGGAATGTGCCTGGCATGTCAGAGGAGTAATAGCCGTTTTGGCTGGAGCAGAGTGCTCTAGGCAGGGAGGAAAGGGGACTCAGATAAAGAAGCTTTTTGGCCCTTGTAAGAATTTTTTATGCCGAGTGAGATAAGGACACTGCAGGGTTTTGAGCAGAGGACTGACATTTAACTTAAAAGGATCACCCTGATGCTGTGTTGAGAACAGACTATCTGGAGGCAGAGGTGGAACCAGAGACCATTAGGAAACTGTTGCAGTGATCCAGGTGAGAAAGATAGTGGCTAGGACCAGCAGAGCAGCAGTGATGCTGATGAGAGGAGTCCCGGGACAATGAGGAGAGTCAAGGATGGCCCCAGTTTTTGGCCTGAGCAACTAGAAAAAAGTACTGATCACTTGAGATAAGGAAGGATGCCAAGTAGAACAGGTTTGGGGGATAAGATCAGAAATTCAATCTTGGCCATGCTGGGTTGGAGATGTCCACTAGAGATTGAAGGGTAGAAGTCAAGGAGAAAGATATGTGAATTTGGAGTTTTAGAGAAAGGGCTGGACTGGAGATAAAAAAATTTTTTTGGTGTTATTGAAGATGGATGGTGTTTGAAGCCATGAGTCTGGGTGAGACAAAGGAATGAACATGGATAGAAAAGACAAGAGGACCACAATACTGTAGTCACTCTAGTGTTAATTATTGGAAAGAAGAGGATGAATCGGTGGAGTAGAAGGAAACCAGGAGAATATGGTCTCCTTAAGGCAAGTGAAGAAAGTATGCAAGGGGAAGGAATGACCAACTGGGTCAAATGCTACTGATAGGTTGAGTAATAACCATTAAGTCACTGATGACCTTGATTAGTTTCAGTGGAGTGTGAAGGTGAAAGACTGACTAGAGAGGTTTAAAAAGAGAAAGGGTTTAATTGTAGGCAACTGGTGTAGATGCTGTTTTGATGAGTTTTGCTGCAAAGGAAAGCAGAGAAATGGGGCAGTAGCCTGTGGGGAAAGAGGAGTCAAGAATCTATTTTTTAGTAAAGATGTGGGCTGCCCGGCCTTCGTGGCTCAGTGGTTGAGCATCGATGGTCAGGGTTCAATTCCCGGTCAGGGCACATGTCGGGGTTGTGGGCTTAATCCCCAGTAGGAGGCAGCCAATCAATGACTCATCATTGATGTTTCTCTCCCTCTCCCTTCCTCTCTCTGAAATCAATAAAAATATATTTAAAAAAAAGATGTGGGCTGATTTTCCCCTCAATATCCACAAATTGTTGATTGCCAACAATTGTTCCTGTCTGTTCTACCACCACAGAATCCCAGATTTACTTCTCTACAGCCCATTACCCCTGCCCTGTCTTAGGCCCTCATCATCTCCTGTGTGCATTACTGTAGTAATGTCCAGTGTGTCTGCCATGCTGCCACTGACCAGGTCAGCCTGGAAACCACTGGCGAGGGTTCTCCCTTGCGGACTCCTTTCCTAAAGGAAAAAAGTTGAATGCCTGGATGGGGAAATGGATGCTGTTTCCTGTGCAGGATTCAGGGTCTCAGCAGGAGAGAACATACTCCACTTAAAATAATGTGAAGAGAACTTAATAAAGGAACTTTTCCCAAAGGAATGGGCAGAGTATAGGGAAACCACAAAGGTTAGTGGTTTCCTGAGATGTGTGACCAGAGGCTCTGTAACTCCTAGGCTTGAAAAGAGTCCATGGTAGGAAGGAAATGGAAGATACAAGTTCTGGAAACGTCTGGGAGGCTGAAGAGTGAGTTTTCTCTAAACCTGGAAATAAGGGTGGCTCCTGAAAGTTAGAAAAACCCACTCAGAACAAATATGAGAGTAAATCAAAGATGGTTGGTCTGTAAATGTGTGACTGAAGTGTTTGGGAATCAGGCCATCAGGGTGGTGGCTGGGGACCCATCAAGGGGCTGGGGCTGGACTAGGACCCTAGTTGTGTGAGCAGAAGTACCAATTGCATTAAATGAGCTAATAAAATGTTTACAACAGTGTCTTTAAGGAAGTAGTTGCTATTGTTAAAACCAGCTTGGAGAGAGGCTTTGTGAACAGAAGAGAGATCACAGAAAAGAGGCATCCCAAAGCAGCTGGAAGAAGCATGTATTTAGGCTCTGGTTCATAGAGATACTAGGCTAAACTGTTCCTTAGAATCAAGGCCTCCCATGTAGAGGGGGATAGGATTTCAAGGTTACTTGGTTAAGAGACTTGCCATACCATCCCCTTTTCCAACTCTGGGGGTTCCAGATTCACTGTGCTAACCTTCTGGTAACTGGGCTTCCCAAGGAGCAACCCAAACTGCTTTATTCTATATATGCAAAAATTCAGGTTTGCCTGACAGTTCTGTTTCTCTGCAAATTAATACTTGGGCTTTTGGGGTTTGTACAAAAGCCTTTTTTGGGTCAAATACCAACCCTGTACGGGGAATTGGATCTACTCACTGCACCAATGAATTTGAGTTTTGGACTTAGAGGCCTGCAAATCACCCTGAAAACAGCCAAAGGTGTCCATCTTTAGCAGTACTGCCTTCTGCCAGTTAATCTGCATCAAGTGGGAAGAGTGAGAATGAGAGGGAAGTAAATCCTAGCTTGAGGGGTAGGCATGGCTCCAGGGAATACCCAGGAAAGGGAGTAGGAGCTGAAACCTTTGCCTCACACCTCCTCCAGGAAGCCTTCCTTGATCCTTGTTCCATACAGGCTGGGATCTGTGCCCTCCCAAGCACATTTCATGGTACTGGTCTTATTGGGCAAGGAGCATCTGCCTACTTGTCCAGACACATCTGAGCCCCTGGAAGGTCAGGACAATGTCTTATTCATCTTTGTAGCCCAAGGACCTGGTACCGAATAATTACTTAGTTAATGTTTCCTTGAGTGCATGATTGAGTGAATGAGACAGAGACAGAATGGATGAATTGACAAGAGGGTCAACTGTACACCTTCCAGAGCAGGAGACCGGAATGCCTTGTGCTGGGGGCACAGTGCCTGGCAGTCAGTGCCCAAAGTGGGCTGACCAAGGGTCAAATGCTCCTTACCTCTTCCTGGAAGCCTACCCCAGACCACCCCTCTCTCCTCGGTGCCGCTGCCGCCAAAGACTGAACACCCGGTTCCCACCGCTGCACAAAGCAACACGGAACCCGGTGGTGTCTGGCCTTGTTTTTGTCGCTACAAGGTGTAGGGGCTTGTCTTTTTCCATGAAGGAAGTTTCCCAAGGCAGGGGTGCTCCTGGCTCTGCCTGGCTAAGGTACTAGAGCCCGCAGCGGCCAGTGTCCCAGGCGGCTCAGGCTTCTTCCTGGAGGGCGCTGCTGGCTCTGGGGGCCCCTCCAGAGAACAGTCCCCGGCTGCACCCAGCCCAGTCCCGCTGGGGCAGGGGTGGCGGGAGTATCTGCGGTTCTCCAAGCCCCCTTCCTCAATCTCCTTCCTCGGTCTCGGCTCTCGCGCCTTCCTTGCAGCCCCTCTCTTTGCAAACTTTTGGAGTTTTCCTCCACTGGCGTCACGGAAAAGGCAGGAGGGTGACCGGGGCCTAGGAGACAAGGAGGCAGCGGCGGCTGGCCAGGGAGAGCGCGGCGCTCAAGGCTCTCCGGGCGAGAGGTGCCTCCCCTCGAAGTCAGACCATCCCTGGAGGCTCAAGGTTCCAGGGGCGTCCCCTTTCTCAAGCAGCCCCGTCTCGGCGGCGGAGCTATCCAGGGGCTGGCGGGCCGGGAGGGCGGAGTCGGCGTTGGAGCCCCGGGCAGCGCGGAAGTGCAGGCCGTAGAGTTTGCCTGCTTTCCCTCCCTCCCCCGCGCTGTTCCCTCCTTCCCCCTGACGGACGCCACCTCCCGGAATAGCTTTCTTTTTTTTTGAGCTGGCTTCTTGCTGACGGGGTGTGGAGGGGCTGCGAGTGCTGGAGGAGGCGGGCTGGAAGCACGGAGGCCGGTCGGGCGCCATCTGCTCGCTGGAGCTCACTCTGCAAACTCCTGTTGAGCGTGTGCGTGCAGGTGGGGCGGGGGTCTGTACGCTGGCGCGGGGCGGCTTACCTTTGGATTGGGTTCTCGGACGCAATCGGGTCAGCTTCAGGCTCAGAAACTGCTGAGGAATTAGGCAAACAAAAGAGGCCACTCAGCTATTGGCCAGAAGTCGCTGGGAGCCAATTCGCTCCCTTCCCTCCTTGGGGTGGGGGCTGGCCACTTGGGTGGGGAGCGGGCTGCCGAACCTAGTTGGTGGCCCCCTGGACGGCACGGGTCGGAGAGTTGGTGGCCTGTTGTGTAAGCCTCAGTACGTGTTTTCCCGGCCTGACTGGTTGGGAAGCTGGACACATCCACTCTTGGACTCGATTCAGGAGGCTGCTGCTTTTTTCCTTGCTCCTTTTGGATTTTCTGGATTTTTGAAAACCCAGTGGCCCAGGAGGAAGGAGGAAGGAGCAGATCTGCTGAGGAATGTGAGAGAGGCTTCCTAGGACTGAGGAACCAGAAGGAGCTGGGAGCCAGAGCTGCCAGGGTTCTGGAATGGTGGTTTCTGAGTGATACTCTTTTGTTTTAGAACCTTGTTCCAGTGGAAAGTGGAATTCTTGCCTTCTCAGACGTGATTTCTCTGAGTCACTTGACTTTTCTCCTGAGAGTGGGAGGAGGGAGAGACTCCCCTTCAGGGGCTGCCAAAGGTAGGGAAAAGACTATGGATATGAGGCCCCCCTGCCCCCAGACATGTGCGGGGAGTTGTGATAGAGAAATTTTGGGGCCATGGGCACAGCTTTGAAGAGAGGGCTGGACAGCATCTCTGGGTGCTGAGACTTGCCCTAGGGGCTGAGAAACTGAGCTGCTGGGTCAGGCCTTTGTTTGCTAGTACGGTGTTGGACATCCCAGTCCTGGGCAGGACCCTCTCCTCTTTCTCTACCACTGGCCCAGCCATGGCACTGAAAGGCCGAGCCCTCTATGACTTCCACAGTGAGAACAAGGAGGAAATCAACATCCAGCAGGGTGAGAACTTGATCATCTTCAGCGAGACCTCGCTGGATGGTTGGCTGCAGGGCCAGAACAGCCGCGGTGAGACAGGGCTCTTCCCCGCCTCTTATGTGGAGATCATCGGCTCTGGTACCAGCTTCAACCATGCTGACTACTCCAGCAGCCCTGCGGGCTCTCCAGGCACCCAGGTGAGCTTGTACAACAGCCCCAGTGTGCCCAATCCTGGGAGTGGTGGGGGCAGTGGCTTCCTCTCAAACCACGGCAGCTTCGAGGATGATGATGATGATGACTGGGATGACTGGGACGATGGATGCACAGTGGTAGAGGAGCCACGGGCTGGTGGGCTGGGCACCAATGGGCACCCCCCACTCAACCTCTCCTACCCTGGTGCCTACCCCAGCCAGCACATGGCCTTCCGACCCAAGCCACCCCTGGAGCGGCAGGACAGCCTGGCATCTGCCAAGCGAGGCAGTGTGGTGGGGCGCAACCTCAACCGTTTCTCGTGCTTTGTGCGCTCTGGAGTGGAAGCCTTCATCCTGGGTGATGTGCCCATGATGGCCAAGATCGCTGAGACATACTCCATTGAAATGGGCCCTCGTGGCCCTCAGTGGAAGGCCAACCCCCACCCATTTGCCTGCTCTGTGGAAGACCCCACTAAACAGACCAAATTCAAGGGCATCAAAAGCTACATCTCCTACAAGCTCACACCCACCCATGCTGGCTCCCCTGTCTACCGACGCTACAAGCACTTTGACTGGCTCTATAACCGACTGCTTCACAAATTCACTGTCATCTCTGTGCCCCACCTGCCAGAGAAGCAGGCCACAGGACGCTTCGAGGAGGATTTTATTGAGAAGCGGAAGCGGCGGCTCATCCTCTGGATGGACCACATGACCAGCCACCCCGTGTTGTCCCAGTATGAGGGCTTCCAGCATTTCCTCAGCTGCCTGGATGACAAGCAGTGGAAGATGGGCAAACGCCGGGCAGAGAAGGATGAGATGGTTGGTGCCAGCTTCCTCCTCACCTTCCAGATCCCCACAGAGCACCAGGACCTGCAGGATGTGGAGGACCGTGTGGACACTTTCAAGGCCTTCAGCAAGAAGATGGACGACAGCGTCCTGCAGCTCAGCACTGTAGCATTGGAGCTGGTGCGCAAGCATGTGGGGGGCTTCCGCAAAGAATTCCAGAAGCTGGGCAATGCCTTCCAAGCCATCAGTCATGCCTTCCAGATGGACCCCCCCTTTAGCTCTGAGGCTCTCAACAGTGCCATTTCTCACACGGGCCGTACTTATGAAGCTGTTGGTGAGATGTTTGCTGAGCAGCCCAAGAATGACCTCTTCCAGATGCTCGACACACTGTCTCTCTACCAGGGTTTGCTCTCCAACTTCCCCGACATCATCCACCTACAGAAAGGTAAGAGCCAGTGCAGCACCTAGGGAGACCCTCACTGAGTCTGCACTCTCCCGGACTTGGGGATGTTAGCATGGCCTGCACTGAATGGAATAGCTCATCTGGTCTTTCTGTCTCTGTCTTATTCATTCAACAAGCGTGTTGAGCACCTACTAAGTGGCAGCTGCTATCCTAGGTGTAGGGATATTATTGTGAATAGGTCTGGTCCCTGTCCTCATGGAGCTCACTGTTTACCTTCTTGTTTTTTCCTTTCTTCAGTCATTTCACCCCCCGTTTCTGTCTCATTTTCTCATTTACACATTATACACTGAGCCCTTCAAGGTATCAGACTGGGTTCTGGGAACACAGAGATGACCAGGACCTAGGCCTTGCCCTTGAGGAGCCCCTACGGATACAGACTCAAATAACCAGACTCAGATAACAAGCACAGTGTGTCCCATCTTCCCACTGCCTCACAAGCTCACCATCCTTCAGACCCTGTTCTCACCACTGCATATCCTATCTGTGAGCTCCCAGTCTGTGTAGGGGAGGGTTGTTGTCTCCATTCTGCAGATATAGAAGGTAGTATCCACAGAAGAGTGGTTGCACAGGGAGTCCATGGCCCAGCTGGGACTGTCTCTTCCTCCTGTGCCTCCCCAAGCACACATCTATGTTGATCACCTTTGAAACCTGGCTGTTTTTATTTCTCACAGCCCCTCCTCGGGGAGGAACGAGAGATGGGCCCATCTCTGCCCAGCCAGCGTGGCTCAGCAGTTGAGCATTGACCTGTGATCTAAGAGATCTCTGTTTGATTCCTGGTCAGGGCACATGCCTGGGTTGCGGGCTCAATCGCTAGTGGGGGCTGCAGGAGGCAGCTAATAATCACTCTCCCATCATTGATGTTTCTCTCCCTCAAAAAAAAAAAAAGAAGATGGGTCCCTCTGTTACTGTAATTGACTCATCTCTAGTCACCCAGGAGTACCTGGGCTGGGCTGGGGAGGAACCAGAGGTCCAGGGGCACATGGCCCATCTAACTACCCCTTCCCAAGCTGGCTTGTCTTCTTGCCTGAGCAGTGAGTCCTGACCTGACCTATCGGGGTGACTGAATCCTGGGGACATCAGGCAGGGCGGATATCAAGAGAGAGGTGTGGTCCTCCCTGGGGCTGCTTGGTAACTCAGGAAGAACGTCTATAGGGCGTGGGGCTGGCTCCTTGGCCCTTAGGCCCTGAGGTAAGGCCTGGCTTGGTTGGGAGTTATCTTCTGGGTGGGGTCAGGAGTCAGGCCTCTGGATTGAGCCTGGGGGTCAACAAATGCCATCCTCCCCCCTACCTCAGTACCCTGGAGAGTCAGAGGTAAACAAGCCCCCGCCCTCCCCGCTCTCCTTACCAGGAGGTTGACTTCTAGAGCTTCTCTAGCTCCCAGCTTCCTTTTTCCCTTCACTTTCTCTTTTCTGTTCTCTGTGCTTTTCTCTCACCTCCCCATTTCTCTCCTCCTTCCCTCTTTCAGCTTTAGGAGACATGAGGCCTGAGTTCTAGTCTTAGCTTTCCCCCCAATTTGCTCTGTGTCCCTGGAAAGTGCCTTCCTGTCTCTTGGGCCTTAGTTTCTGATCTATAAAAAAGGGAGGGTGGACTCAGTGAGCTCTTAGGCCTTCAAGGTGGGGGAGGGAGACTTATGGGGAGGGTCTGGTTGAGGACAGAGTGATGCCCGAGATCTAGCTCTGAGCTCCCGAACAGGGATAGGGCAGGGGAGGTGGCCTGGCTGGCTACTGGCCCTGGTTTGGAATGGAGCCACACCCACTGCTGCTTTAGGGCCTGGGAAATCTGGTTTAACCAGTTCTTTGTATGGGTGTTTCTACTGGGCAGCAGTGTGGGCAGTGGTGGGAGGGGGAAGCAGGAGCACAGTGATTAAATAGCTGTGCCCCCCACCCCTCCAATGCAGTGGCTGGGGACTTTCACCCAGGGCAGAGCTAGGGCAGGAAGGCAGCTCCATACCCAGGGCTCCCTGGCTTGCGCTGAAGTAGAAGGGAATGAAGCCAGACTAACCTTTCTGACCCTGGGGCAGGGAAACAGAGCTGAGAGAGGTCATTTCTGATTTTCCACTTGAGGTATTTTTTTTTTTTTGAGGTATTTCTAAGTGCGAGGGGCCAACAGTTCTCTGGGGTGATGTATTCAAGGAGCAGGAAAATTGCGTCCCCCAGGGTTCTGTCCAGCTTGTCTGGACATCTGAAAGATGATGAGCCTGTGGGAGGGGCCATGGAAGGAAGGAAGTGGGAGGCCTAGATGGAATCAGGACACCAGGATTTAGACAGATATTGTCTCTGAGGTGATCTTGAGAGAGTTTTCTCCCCTCAGTGTTTACTTTAGTAAAATGGGAGATGGAGTCTGGTTGGTACTGAAATGAGGATCACTAGCCTGTCTGCCCACTAGCCCAGCCTCTGGACCTCAGTCCAAACCAGGGCAGTCTTGGGGGGAGTTAAGAGGGCCCTAATAATAGTTACCCAGGGACAACAAGGGGAAACAGTGACTGCCCTTACCTGAGAGCCAGGGCTCTGTCCTAAGACTCATCACACCCAAGCCAGGAAGGTTGGTCTGGTCCCCTCTATTTTACAGATGAGGTGCAGTGGGATGGTCAGCAGAGCAGGAATTGGAGCCCAAGTGTGTCTGACTTCATTGCCCAGGCAGTGTCTACTGTGCCTGACAGATGGGGGAAGGAGGGATGGCTGCTTGTCCTAGATGAGTTAGGAGGGGAAGGAAAAAGGAAGGAGGCTTGATGTTCTAGTGCTAACTTAGCTGCAATCCCTGATGTGCTAGAGGCAGGCTCAGGACCACAGAGCATGCACAGAGGGGCTCCTAGATTGGCCAAGGCCAACTGGTCTTTGCAGGCCAGGCACCTGCCTGGGGAACAGGTGGGTCCTCTGTTCTGGGCCTTCTCTCTACCACCCCTCCTAGGCTTCCATAAACAAAGAGAATCATTGCCATGAGCCACCACTAGCTGGTTCTTGCTGTGACTAAAAAGCAGTTTGCACACAATTGCACATAGTATCTTTAACTCTTACTTGGTCAGGTGTAGTCCTAAATACTTTATACATATTAGTTCAATCAAACCTCAACTACAGTAGAGGGTAGATACTCTTCTTATCCTATTTTACAGATGTGGAAAATAAAGCTATGAGCAATTGTCAGCAGCATTGTATCTAGTCCAACCTGCCCCCTTTGATGTGAGGAGACCTGCAGACCAGGCAAGGGCAGTGGCTTGCTGGAGGTGACACAGTTGGGACCAGGACTCAGACCTCCTGTCCCCAACCTGGGGCAGATGATAACAACCTCCAAGAAGTGGGGATAAGACTGATTAAGGATTATGCCTGGGACCATGGAGCTCTGAAACCACAACCCTCCTTTCCCTATTCCTAGGATCCAGCCTGCAGGACAATTACCAAGGCAGGAGGCTCCCCTGGGTCTTCAGCTCTCAGGTTGAGTCCAGAGTGGAATGTAGGGGGAATGCTGGACAGGCCTGAGCCCTGACTCCCTGCTGGTCTCTGGGCACTTCAGTATTAGCTGGTCCAGGCCCCAGATCTGAGTCATAGAGTGGACAGGTGACGGAGAACAGGGTGGGGCCTCTAGCTCCCTCTTGCCCCTGTGGCCTTTGTCCCCCATCCCTGGCTCCTTGCCTGTCTCTTTGTTTTTGGATACCTAGCAATTGCAATAGATTCATTTCTATTATTTGGGCCTCACTCTCATCAACAAAAGGGGCTTTTTCTTTCTCCAAGGCTAATGGGCAAGAAGTGCCCTTTTGAGTAGTTGGGATAGAACAGGAATGTGGCAGAAGGACTGAGTGGGCTGGGAGCTGGTGACTTCAGAGTTCTTTTGAGTGCTGTGTGAGTAGCCCTGGAGACTGTCCAAGCTTGAGTCTGTGTGCCCCAAATACCAGTATTAGCCAATAAGCTATGCATTTGTTTACTTATATGGGTGCTAAAGGGCCCCAGAGTTATTTCCAGGATATGGAGCCCTGGGCCTGGCATATAGTAAATGCTCAATAAATGTATATTGAATGCATCAAACAATTTGAGGGTAAAAAGAATACATTTTGAAGGCCCTTGAGAAGCTTCCTTAAAAAAGAAATGGGAAGTATGGATAATAAGCCTGTTATTTGTGTGTAGTGGATCCTTTTGAAGTACTCAGGAGTGTGCTTTCCTCGATGCCAACCCTTCCCATCTCCTTATTCTTCTTTGTACAGTGGATTCCCTACAGCTCTGTAGGAGTGAGTGCCAGGCACTGGCAAACTGCCTCCCCCACTCAGCAACTGCCCCTGCTGGCTTCAATGCAGAATTAGTCAAGTACCTATTAATTCAGAACTGGAATCCATTCACCAAATTTTTTGTTGATTCATTCAGATTCTTCCAAATTGAGTCACCTGCCAGGTTCATCTCCTGCCCTCCATCTGTCATCTGGTTATTACAATCGCCTCCTCTGGTCCCCTGGGAGCTAGAGTGAGGAGGGGCCAGGGTCTGTCTGTGGGGGAGACACACACAAAAGAAAACTCCAGGTGGCCTTTGAGGCTCTTGTTTTAGAATCAACAGTGTGATGGGGGTGGGAAGCATTGTTCCTGGGAGCACTGAGGGAGGCTCCTGGTGTACCTGATAGGAGGCATTGAATTATGCATAGGGTTCTAGGGGACAGAGAGGCGAAGTTAGGAAAGAGCAGAGTGAGTCTGATGAACATGAAGTCAGTGTGGAATGGGTGCAGTGACCAGCTCTCAGAGAGCCTCATGAATGAATGGGTGTGGATCTTGATCTGAAGACAGAAGGGAGCCAGGGAAAGCTTGGAACTCTGGGAGCCCAGCTTGGCTGCTCTTCAGGTGCTATGGAGAACCTCTCAGAGGCTGGGACTGAGGTGGGAGGCCCTTGGGGGCCTGTTGTAGTTGTCCAGTGAGGAACAGGTTGAATCAGCTCACTGGACATGTATCAGGATCTGCTGTCGGCTAGGCTTTGTTCTGTGTGCTAGAAATATTGAACTCACAGCCCATAGGGAGACAGTCAGAGAAACTGCAGGGTGGTAAGAGCTGTGGGAGAGGGAAACCCAGGGTACCTGAGAGCATTGGGAGGCACCTAATGCAGTGGGGGGTGCAGAGGAAGCTTTCTGAAGGAGGTAATGTCTGAGCTGAATTAGGATATCCTGGCTCTGGAATGTAGCTAGCAGAACTGTGACTGCTTGGGCGTGGGTTGCTCATGGTGCCATAGGTTTGGAGGGAAAATGGTGTATCTGGTTTAGGTGAGGGTTGGGGACATGCTGGTGGAGGACCCAGTACCTCGACCAGGGGTCTGGAGTTCCACAAGCAAGGCCTGAGTCGAGCTGATGAGGATACTCTCTGCCCTTGAGGGTACTACTGGAGGGTTTAGGGAACAAACTGGGGAAACCAGAGCCCTAACCTCCCTTGTCTTCTGCTCTGCCTATGCCAGGCGCTTTTGCCAAGGTCAAGGAGAGCCAACGCATGAGTGATGAGGGCCGCATGGCTCAGGATGAAGCAGATGGCATTCGCAGGCGCTGCCGTGTGGTGGGCTTCGCCCTGCAGGCTGAAATGAACCACTTCCACCAGCGCCGTGAACTCGACTTCAAGCACATGATGCAGAGCTACCTGCGCCAGCAGATCCTCTTCTACCAGCGGGTAGGCCAGCAGCTGGAGAAGACGCTGCGCATGTACGACAACCTCTGACCTTGAGTACCTGGCCCCACCCCACCTCTGGCCTGGTCACTGCAGTATACTCTGGTTTATAGACCTCCTGCACCAGCAGTAGCTGGGGGTGGGCTCTGGAACAGTCATGGGTACGCCTGGGGAAGTCCACCCCTTAAGAGGTGGGGCACAGCAGGGACGAGAATGAGACCAGGAATCCTGCTGGCTGAGGCCTGGGCCACAGGTCGGGCAGTCACTTGAGGCCAGGCCAGAGTCTTAGCCAACTGTAGAGCCTCTAGCGCTTGTGCACATGGCCACCGCCCCCTCATTCTCTCAGCAGATACTGGGGCCTTCTGGGGCCCTGGGTCAGATGCTGAATACCCAGGCTTGTGACACACCTGCCCTCAGGGTGTCCCCAGTCAAGGTGGGGATCAGACAGAAATAGATGGGGTAATGCAGAATGACCCATGGTAAACAAGGGTTTCCTGAAAGCTCATAGAGAGGACCACTCATTCTGCAGGTCAGGAAAGACTCCATAGAGTAGCTGACATTCCAGTGGTGTTTTGAAGAATGACAAGGACCTGCCAGATAGTAAAGGAGGAAAGTAGATGGGGAGGACATTTGGAAGAGAGGGACGGCATGGGCAAAGGTGTGGCGGCATCTCTCCTTCACCTTTTCCCCAAGCAAGTTTGCTACCCTACCTTTGTGGGGAAGGATCTTCCTTGCTCCCAAGTCTCTGTCCCACTGCAGGGTGTTGCAGGGCAACAGCCTCCTGACTCCCTTCACCTGCTAAACCCCCAACACCCCTTGGTTAGGGGACCATGCAGCATCTTTTCCTTGGGCTCAAGGTGCTAAGACAAGTCACCAACTCCAGGGTCCTGGTTCTATCTTTCTGGAGGGGCCACCCAAAAGGTACCAGATATTTGAGTTCACCAGCAATAGCTCCTTACACTTCAGCAGGCTTAGACCCCAGTCTCCTAAGGTCCTTGGCAATATGAATCCCAGAATCCTTCCTGGTGCACAGTGGGAAACCCAGGGGGAAAAGAGAGATTGGCTTACCCACCGCCCCAGGGACCCTGGGCCCACCCGCCATGGCCAGCCTCACTTTGATGCCCACCTGGGTCCTGGCCAGTTGTGCTGTCTCCCACCCATGTTTATGTCCTCAAGGGGGCTACTCATTCCTCCCAGGCCAGGGCATGGTCCAGCAGCAGGTTGGGTGGAACTGACAGGTGCCACTGCTAGCCCCTTCCAGGAGGTCATGGCCATTCCTGGCTGCTGCTGCTTGAGTATTTTTTCTTGTTTTCTTGATAAACTTTTTATAATTAAGATAACAAAAACATGACTTTTTAATTTAGATCTGAGAAGGGCTAAGGGTGGGGGAAGGATAGAACCCTAGTTGTCCCTGTGGTCATGGTAGGTACAAAATTTGCCCCAGAACCTCAGTAGTTGGGGAGGGCTGTGCTGGTGGGAGGTGCTATCTAGGGATCTGGAGGTGGCCAAGAACCCCAGCTGGATGCACATCCTTCCCAGACGGTTCTCAATCTCATTTCATAAGCAGTGGAGAACTGCCAGGGGTTTGGCTGTGCTGCTCTGATCTAGGGCTGAGGGTTGCATGAGAAAGGGATAGGAGACCATGTTCCAGGACAGTCTGACTGATGGGGTTCCTCACCTTAGGGCGGCCCCAGTCCAGGGGAAGGGGGTAGAGCTCAGAAACTGTGTCCTTTCTTAGGCAGTCCTGGGTTCCCAGCCATATGGTGGCTTCCATGTTGAAAACTGAGGAGGATGCCTCAGCCCTGCCCTTGGGGGTGCCCCAGGCAGGATGAACAGGAATCTTGAACAGGATGAAAAAGAGAAGTGTGGTGAAACCACTGTGTTCTTTCAGGGCAATGGGGACTTGGTGGAGGGAGGAGTGCCCTGGTCCAGGCATCCAGGGAGGCTTTGGCTGGGCCAGGGGCTAGGGTAAGTGAGATGAGAAAAGGGATGGCAGGTGCAGTGGGGGAGGGGGCAGCAAGGGCTCCCCATTCAGGGCAGAATGTCCTCAGAGGAACTTCTGGAATGGGCCCTTGACCCTGAGTCAAAATTAGGTCATATTTGGGACTTCCTGTGGAATTTTTCCCTCCCTCCTCCCTGCTCTCCTTCCTTCATATCCAGCCCCTCTGAGGACCTTCCCCCTTAATTTCTTCTCAGCTTTGACCTCTAGATAGCCTCCTGCAGAGAGCAATCTGACCACAGCAAGGGGGCTAGGAGTGGGTTGGGGGTGGGTGGCAACTTCTTGAGGCCAGTCTGGGTAGGGTAGGAATGCTCTTCTTAACCCACAGTGCCTGGAAAGTCCCCATTCATGCTTCTTACCCTGGGTCTGCCCTCTTGTGTCATTTCCTTGTGTCCCTGTACCTCCTATTCTCAGGGTAAGGGAGTTGGCCTGACACCAGGTCAGCTTGGACCTAGGAGAAGAACCCGAAATATGAAGTCTTGGGATGGACTAGGCCTACTCCAGGCATCCTGAGGTCTCTAGGCTGAGATAGCGTGTCTGTGGTGGGACTGAGAATGTCATAGCCCCTCTCCCCGGTTTTTTCTTTTTTTTCTCTTTTTTTCTATCTATGTGTGGGATGGGGTGTTGGAATTTGAGATCTGTTGGGGCTAGCCAGAGCCCTTTTCTGCAGGGGACTGGAGGAATGGTGTGGGGGAATATCCTGGTACCTGACCTCAGTCACATGCCAGGCACATGTTCCAGACTGAGCTGGGCCCAGCTGTCTCCAGTTCCCTCCTTCATTTTGCTCTGAGGGAGATGAGAAACAAGGCTTCTCTTTCTGCCCTGGGCAACTATAAGGACCTGTGGGTGGGGGACCCCTGATACCCAGTCTTGGCCCAGACCAGGAAAGGAGTCTATTTTGTGGCCACATGTGGGGTGTTGGGGAGGTAGGTGGTTCTCTTGAGAATCCTGCATCTTGCTGCCTCTTGGACAGAGGAGGAATGTGAACCACTGTGCCATGGCTGGAGCAGAGCCAGGCCTGGGGGAGACAGGTGGTCCTAAGCCCAGTTTCCCACCACCCCTCCATCCTATGGCACAGCCATACAGTCATCCACACATCCACTTGGTCCCAGACACTGTTACCCAATCCGAAGCAGATATAACCACACAGCCACGCAACTTCCCCACAGGCATGTATGCCACTCCTGGTCACATACACATGTATGCATGGTCATGTGCTCTCACAATTGCACTTCTATCCATGGTACCACACACTGTCACACATTCATGGCCATGTCCACAATTAGCCTTGTCCACATATGTCATCTGTTCACAGCGTCAGTCTCAGCTATGTCATCACTCAGAACCATACCACAGTCTCATACGCACAGTCACCCTCACACAGTGATACACACATAGTCACATGTGAACATAACAAAGGTGTCACACACAAGTAGCTGCACCTGTACTACCTTCTGGAGGAGTCAGCTGGGATCATCCATCGCCCAATACCACCACATTCAGTTCTTGATTGCACAGACAAGGAACTTGAGGTCTAGTGAGGGGTGGCAGCTGGCTGTATCACCCAGTGTGCCAGGGGATGCTTTGGGCCAGAGTTCAGCTCCTGGTATGCTCTGTGGCCTGGCCTTGTACACACCTGGCCCGGTCTCTAGGCTGCCTTTGAAGGCCTCTGGCTAAAGCCACCAAACAAAGCTCCAGGCATCTCCCATCTCTTGAGCCAGAGCTGAGGCTGCTGCATCCACAAGAGCCAGTATGCAGTGGGTAGAGCCCAGGCCTTGGGCTGGAGGAACATTCCTGCACCATCTCCCCAAACAAGTGAGAACTGGGCCCGCCCTGCCTGTCTGCTGCTGACTCAGACCTCCAGGAGCCAAGCCTGCTCGGCTCCCTGCCACCCCTCTGCAAACCTGCTTCCCCACCAATTCGGCCCCTGTACCTCTCTCCACTGGCCAGGGCAGAAAGAGTCAGTTAGCCGTAGCAAAAAGACCATGGGGAACAATAAAAATTCACCTCGCCAGAGAGAGCTCAGAAAGGCTGATTTTGAAATGCCTCTTCGGAGTTCTATGTAGCTTAACACAAGTCTTTTTTCCTTGGGTTTTGTTTTGTCAAAGCCTAATGCAGCCCAGTCTGTTTAAAAAGCAGTGTCTCACGCAGCTGAGGCCTCCTTGGTCCGTACAGCAGCCTTGCTAGGCAACATTATTCCATTTCATGGGCAAGAGACCAAGACTTGGCCAGAGGGAGGCTAGGACCTGCCTGCCTAGGATCACAGGATGAGTCTGAGGCCTCTGGACTCGAACCCAGCTCTCTGGCTTTATTCCTTAAAGTCACATGAATTAACTTACTTAGGTTCAAAGGAAGAGGAGGTGGCAGATTTCCACTCCAGAAATGGGAAGGAATGGGAGATGGTGAACCCAGCTGCTGAAATGTGAAGGGGGTTGAGGGTGGGTGGGTCCCTACAGTCCCCAAGGATGAAGAGGCTGATGAGGGCATGGCACTGCAGCATCTGAGGTGACTCGGGGACTGCATAACAGATGAATGTGTGAGGAGCATCACTTCATTTTTCTATAACTGACCTGAATTCCTCTCTTGCTTTTTCATTCCCCCACATGGTAGAAAATTAATCTCAGATCAATATGGGGACCCTTTCTTTCCTGAGGGATGCATCTATGTTTTGGAGGTGGCACACTTGAATACCATAGGCAGGCTCTGGGCACTTTGAATTTTAAAGGTTGAATCCCACACCCTGTCACACAGTAAATTTTGCCTGCATTCCACATTAAAAGTCATTAATAGCCCTACTTGGTTTGGCTCAGTAGTTAGAGCATTGGCACGTGTACTGAAGGGTCTTGAGTTCGATTTCAGTCAAGGACACATACCTTGGTTGCAGGCTCGATCTCCCGCTCTGGTCAGGGCATGTGCGGGAGGCAACCAATCAATGTCTCTCTCTCACATCAATGTGTCTCTGTCTCTCTCCTACTCTCTAAAAAGCAATAGAAAAAATATCCTCAGGTGAGGACTGAAAAAAGTCATTAATATATACCTATTTGGGTTAGGTTCATTACTACTTAATCTGTTGTCTTATAGATGTTTAATTAAACTTTATTAATTTTGATTTTTGCCTTTTTCTTTTCTTTCTTTTGCCTTTTCTCTAGTCATCTTCCCCTACTTCCTGCCTTCCCACCCCTTGCTCCTTTGATCCCCATTCCTTAGGCCTTTGGGTTTGGACTTTTCTCTGTTTTGGCACTTGGCCCCCTCAGTTGCCCCTGTACCTTGTGGGCCTCAAGGAACCTCAGGGGGGTGACATTGTTCCTTCTGTGACTTGTGGTCCTCTCTGGGGCTATGGTCATCAATCCACAGGTCCCACCTCACACTCAAGCACAAGGAGCTCTGGGGCCTGCTTAGAGGTACTGTGCAATCCTCTGTTATCTGAGATCTGGGGCTTCTACTGTCTCTCAGTGTAAGCAGCACCATGGTGGACACTGGGTGGCCAGTATTTCATAACCACCCTATGTGCAAGGGACCAGGAAATGAGGCCCAGTGAGGCAGGCGCTAGAGCAGCCAAGGCTGGTGTGAGAGTACCCACGCCTGGGCCACCTGTGCTGGGAGGCAAATGGCTGATGCTTGAGGTAGGACCTGGAGTTTGGCTAGAGCCTGTAGGTATCTGGAGTCTCTTCTGAGCTGACCCGAAACCCCTAGTTGCCATTGTGGCAGGAGGGCTCTGGGTAGGGGGAGTAGGAAGCTCCACTAGGCAATCCTGGTGCCCCACAGATGGCAACAAGTCCCTGGCTTCTTTCCCTCCTCTATCCAAAGGCTGAGCCTGAGTGTAAATCCTCCCTTGCATGTACTTGTTTCAGGGATGTTTCTTAACTGCTCCATGCTTCCATGTGTCCATTTATAACAGGAGTTTCAGATGGTTTTTAGGAGGGTTATATGGGCAAAACTAGTTAGCTGGACAGTGCTTACGCAAGTGCTCAGTAAGGAGCCACAGAGATTGTCACCCTCTGAGCAGAAACTTAGAGCAGGTCTCAAGCCAAGAATATGGGTGCTTCATTTCATCGGTGAGAAAACTGACTCAGTGTGCCCTTCAAGGCCACATACTGGGTAGATGGCAGGTCTGCGCCTGGGACCAGGCCCCCAACCACTCCCAGACTTTCAGCCTTGCCCCATGTTGCCACCTTGTCTCCTTGGGGGAGGACTCTTTGGGGCTTCCTGGCTGTCATAGTATTTGTCAGTCCAGGGCAGGAGGCATCCACTGGGCCACTGGCTGTTACATATTCCATTGCACACAAGATAGCATAGCCCAATACTTATGAGGCAGGCTCACACTTCAGAACTCCCTTGACAGATTCACTGGAGGACCTCAGGCAAGACCACCACTCAGTCTCAGTTTTCCCCAACATCATTCAAGTGATGGTTATCATGATTACACAGGGGCATGAGATCACGAGTGTGGGCATTGCCACTGTCCCAGGTGTACTTTGTCCTCAGTCACAGAGGTCAGTAAGGCAAGGGTGGACCTGAGTGCACAATAGCTACCATTGAGTAGCTACTATGTGCTGGGCATTGGGCTAAGGGTCTTTCGTGAATTATTGCCCACAACAGGTGAGAACTATTGCCAACCTTTTCCAGCAGATGAAGACTCAGAGGCACTGAGTCACCTGTGTGAGGTTGTGCAGATGCTCGATGGTGGATGAGGCTGAGGTCTGCCTGAGTGTGAAGCACTGCCTTTCCTGCTGCACGAGGCTGCCTGTCCATGGCTGGCAGGCTGGGCTGGGGGTGGGGGAAGAGAAAGGGCAGTCATCCTGCAGAGTGAATGCAGGGGTGCTGGGAACAGGGCAAGTGGTGGATATTAGGTGAACATGGTCATGGGCCTTTAAGTCAAGGTGAAAGAGCAGAGAGCTTGGTCTGCAGAGAGCATTGAGCAAATATTTGTTGGGTGATAATTTTCTGTAGGGCCTCAGGCTGGAGTGTAGGAGCAAGATCTGGTTATGGAGGAGGAGACTGGACAGGTGAGACCAAGTCAGGGAGCTGGAGTCAGGGGCCAGGCTCTGGTCTCTGAGAAGAATCTGTCAGGAGCCTCTTTGCTAAAGGAACCAGTATAGGAAGGAGAGTTGCTAGGGAAACATTGGGGTGGAGGTGTCCTGTGAGGGCTGAGGCCGAGGCTCTGACCCTGGGGCTTTGATATAGAAGAGGGTTGGGGCAGGCAGAGGTCAGGTGGTGGTAAGGTCTTTGCCCGCCCCTGGTACCCTGGAATGTATGCATCCAGCTGTGTGGTGGCTGAGTGTGTCTGTGTGCACCTGTGCCTGAGTGTATAGGTCCCCATGGCGGTGCTCTATGCTTGCATTCCTGTGTTCCCCAGCCTGGAAGAGCTACCTGTCACCCCAGAGCTCAAGCCCAGCCTTGGAACCCCAGAGCTCATGCTCAGCTCCTCTCTTTTTCTCACACACCACATCTCATCCATGAGCAAACCTTTGTTAGATCCTCAAAAAGAGATCCCAAATGTGACCCATTTCATCATCTCCCTGCTTGGCCCAAGCCACAACCACACATGCCTAGACTATTACAGTAGCCCCCAAGTTGCCCTTCTGCTCTCTCTCCTGCTCTGTGACAGTCTAACAGGAGCCAGAGTGATCTTTTAAAACCACACTAAATCAAATTGTACCCCTTCCCCGCTTTCCATCTGCAGGGGTTCCTGCCATTTGTAGGATAGATTCCAAACTCCTACTACAGACAAGGCCTCTGTGATCTCAGCTTGGACACACAGCTCCAGGCCCACTGAACTGCTGGCTATTTCTCACATAGGCCAAGCTTTCTGTACCTCAGGGCCTTTGTACTTGCTGTCTCCTCTGTCTAGAATGTTTTTCTTCCCAGATGTCTGTGTGGTTCACACCTCAGTTAATTTAAGTCTTTGTTTACATGTTACCTCCTTGGAGAAGCCTTCTCTGACCAAAGAGTCTTTCTAGCCCTGGCTGGGTAGCTTAGTTTGGTAGAGCATCATCCTGATACGACTAGGTTGCTGTTGGATCCAGGTCAGGGCACATACAAGAATCAACCAACCCCCCGGGTGGGAGTGGCCAGGTCTGCTGCCATGGGAGATTGGCGTGCCTGCGCCTGCTGTTCTGTGGCAGAGGTGACACATGAAGAAACCTCGCCCTAGGGGCAGCAGCGGCAGCTCCTGAGCTCCTGGATGGGGGAGAAATACGATGGGGACATGCTAGCCTGCCTGGGCGCTGGTGTTGGTGGTGCCCTCCAACCAGTGGACGTGCCTAGTTCTCCGGCACCAGCCTCCAGAGCCTCTCTCTCCATGTGCCTGTGGGCTCGCTCACTTGCCAACCTGGACTCCAGGTTTGCTGCTCTGGACACACTTTCCTGGGCCACTGCCCTGGACTCCACTGGGGTGTCCACAGGACCAGTGTCCTCCTCAACCCCCTGATAGCCCTGAACATCCTCCTTGGTTCAGTGCGTGTCCTGGAGCCCTCTGACCTCTCTGTGCTTCCAGGCTGCTTCTAGCTTTCGTTGGCTCATCTGTTTCCTGCTGCAGAGTGAATGCTTTAAAATCAGGAAGGTTCTGCTTGAACCTGTGGTTTTCAGGGCAGATGGTTAACCTTAGAACTGCTTTTTCAGATAGAAGAGGATATTTCTGTTGGTGGTTTCTCTCTAAAATGGTAATTTAGTGACTACTTAACCTTTCTGACATCTTCCTATGTAAATTAGGGGAAGGTATCACTGTTGTATCTTCAGGTGAAGAAACCAAATTACAAACAGCTGAACTTCGATGTTCAGGTTAACACCACACATCAAGAATCCAGCCTGTCATCTAGTTTTCTTTTCCTTTCTCGATTTATTTTATTATTAAATAAGAAATGTGTGCTCATTGTCAAAAAATTCAAACAGTATAGAAATTCAGAGTAAAAAGAGAAAATTCCTTTTTACCCTCCCACCAGTGTCCCTACTATGTTTCACTAAATTTTTGATCATATGATCTCCTAAAAGCAGTTCACATTGTTCAGTTCATTTTTGTATTAAAACTTGGGACTGCATTTCTTATGGTTTTGTTTTAAAAGCCATTTTCTTCTGGAAAAAGTATTACCAAACACCAGTGGATCAAAATATTTAAACAGGCAGTTGCTGGGTGTATCATTTCATTCTTGTGGTTTTTTTGGCCTCTTTGTGGACCACTAAGGACTTTGCTGCTATTTGAACACAGTGATATTGTTGTCATCTCACTACTCAGTGTTTTGTTCACTAGTTCTGGAGGAGCACCAGCAGAGATGAGGAAGGCTGCTTTTTAAAATTATTATTGTGATCTGCCTATTGCTTTTCGACAATGATGATTTGATGGCTAGAGTGGCTTACACAGCCATTGCCTTCTTAGGTGTAGCAGATCACAAGGGTGGAGTATTGTTACTAGTACTGGCTTTGTGTCAAAAAGTTGGTTTTCATACAGCTTCCAGAAAGCTCTCTATAGATGTTGGTGAAGCCAAATGTCTTCAAGCTTTATCCCATGTTATTTCTGTGCTTCTCTTGTGCTCATGGATCATTGTTCGTTCTGTGATAACTGAGAGTAAAATCGAGTCTTGGTTTTCTCTCATTATACCTTTCACAATGGTTATCTTTTTTGTCATGATCCTGGATTTCTACGTCGATACCATTTGTTCAGTCAAGATGGAAATTTCCAAATGTGCCTGCTAGGGACCCTTCGCCATTTTTATTAGTGCTCTACTTTTTGGAAATTTTTTGGATGCATCCAATAACAGACCAGCTTTGGGCTGTAAATGGAGCAGCACACCAGGAGAGCAATGAACGTGTCCTGTCTGGAGGAGTGATAGTGAGCTCTATGTTCTTCATTTTGTCTGCTAACATTTTATCATCTCC